AGGTTTGAAAAAATTTTAATCTATGTATTTTTTTTTAAAAAAAAAAAAGAGAGAACCTAATTTAGTTTCTTTTTTAAAAAATAGCTCTATATAGAGTCATAGTACTAGTCTTGCAAAATTTTATTCAATCTATCAAACTATTAGGGCTATACATCTATTTAAAATTTTACTATAATTACTATAAAATTAGGCAGCTGATATATATACCCCCAAATTTGTTATTCATACCCCCACAAAATTTAAATTTTTTTCTAATTTTGAGCAAAGATATTTCAGTAATTTCTTGATAAGATGTAATAATTATTTTTTTATTTTGATTTTACAGATAAGTAGAATCAAAATAATAAAAAATTCATCGAATTTGGTTAAGTAGTTACCATGATATCTTCACTCAGAGTTTAAAATATTTAAAACATTTATCAAAATAATAAATACAAAAAAGTTCTTGAAACTTTGAGTGAATATATCTCGACAACTACTTGACCAAATTCAATGAACTTTTTTTTTATTTGAATCCTACAAATCTGTAGAATCAAAAAAAAAAAGTTCATTGAATTTAGTTAGTTGGATGCTGAGATAACTTTGTTTAAATTTTTGAAAAAAATTCAAAATGCCTATCAAAATAACTTGCAACAAAATTTTTTAAAACTTTGAGTGAAAATATCTCAGTATCTATCTATTTGAGCAAATTTTTTTGTTACTACAAATATGTAGAATAAAACAAAAAAGTTTTATCTAATTTTGTTAGATAGATACTGAGATATCTTTGCTCAAAGTTTAAAAAAATTCAAAACATAACAGCTATGGCAAATTTTTTTAAACTTTAAACGAAGATATCTCAGTATCTATCTAACTAAATTTAATGAACTTTTTTCTTTTGATTTTACAGGTTTGTAAAATTAAAACAAAAATAAGTTTGTCGAATTTGGTTAGATGTATGCTGAGATATCGTCCTTCAAACCTTTAAAAAATTGAATTTTTCAAAACTTTGAGCAAAGATATCTTAGTATCTTTTCAATCATATTTGATAATCTTTTTTTATTTAATTCTGCAGATTTAGAATTAAACCAAAAAAAAAAAAAATTCATCGAATTTGGTTAAAATGTTATCAAGTTATCTTCGCTCAAAGTTTCAAAAACATTTCTGTATCTATTATTTTAATAGATGCTTTAAAACTTTGAGTGAAGATATCTTGGCAACCACCTAACCGAATTCAATGAAATTTTTTTATTTTGATTCTACAAATTTGTAGAATCAAATAAAAAAAATATTATTAAATTTGATTAAAGAAGTTACTTGATATCTTTGCTCAAAATCAGAAAAAAATTTATAATTTATGGGTGTATGAATAATAAAATTGGGGGTATATATCAACCACCTAAAATTATTACCTATATAAAATAAATTTTATTATATGACCACATAGTGTTCGAAATTAGTGTTCTCAGAGTTCTCATGAGAACATTATTATAAATTTGTCACAATGTAAATTTTTTACTGTTCATTATTAAAATTTTTTTGAAAACAATAAAATCATAATAGTGTTCTTATATATATAGGGATGAGTTAATAGAAACAAAGCAATATTTTTTATGTTTTTTTTTAAAATTTTAAATCAAATTTAATAAAAATTTTTTAAATTAATTCTGCAACTTTGTAACAATTATTTAATATTTTTTTTAAAAAAATTAATTCTGCAACTTTGTAACAATTGTTTAAAAAAATTTTTTTAATAAGCTTGATTTCAATTAATCTGCCCCATATTAAAAAGCTGCATAATGTTGTTATACAAGTCAGAAATCGATGTTATACTGGACTAATCTAAGGTAAATTAATAAATATTTATCTATTATTTTTGAATACTAATATAGCTATAGCGAACTATAGCAATAGTTTATATTTCTAATATATTGTTTTTTTACATAAACATGAAATTGTACCTTGAGAACATCTACATCTATTGCACTTTTCTCATGAGAACAGTATTTGGATCTGAAATTTTAAACACTAGACCCAACATGGAAGATCCCCATCAAAAGAAATCAGCTTAAACTTTACAAAAGTTGCTGAACCTAATAAACATGATCAAACAATACTTTGCCAAAAATGTAATTATTGCGAAGAAGACTTTGTGATCAATTAAAAGGTCATTCATTAAAATATAAAAAAATTCCAAGAAATATATAAGGTTTATTAAAAACCCAATACAGGATTCTGGTTTCTCAGATAATTATTTAAAACTTATTCAATGGGTTTACAATAGTGGCAATATTGACTTTTAACACAAACAAATGTAAGACAAACGTAAAACTAATATAAAATTCACATTTAAAAATATAACTTTTTTAAAAATTAAAGCAATCAAATATTTAAATTTTTTTATTTTATTTTTTTTTTAAATTAAATTCAAAATTATATACATAACACTATCTTTTTTTAGAAAAAATTTAAAAAATTAAAGCGATCAAATTTATTATTTTTTTTATATAATATCTAATAAATTTGAAATTATATACATAACACCATCTTTTTTTAAGAAAATTTCTCAGCTAAAAATTAAAATTAATTATTTAGAAGAATATTTTCAGTTAATTATGAAAATAAAATCAAAATAAATTTTTAATGTAACGAGTGATTAGGGTGCGATTTACAATTAGCAAATTATACTTTATTTTTAGATTTTTCTAACAACAACATGACCAATTTAGTCAACTTCTAAATATAAATGGAATTATCATAAGTTAATATTCTTATGTGCCCCTACCCCGCATATAAGAGTTGTAACCAACCATACTCAAGTTATATCCTTTAAATAATTTTATCATTAGTAAAAAGGTTCAACTATTCATAATTATAATAAACCATGCACTGACTCAACTTCATTATTTCCATTGATTCACTTTACCTCTTGATTTTCGAAAATATCGATCACTTTTAGCTCGTGATACTATTTGTCTATAAATATTATCGTGCAAAGAAAGCTTTTCTAAGTGTCGAACACGTTCGTCAATGAAATTAAGAATCCAGCTAGACACCTGGGAATCACTGAAACAAAGTTTCCAGCTTTTCCCTACACGAATATTATATAAGCCAAACAGAAAATTGAACAAAGGGTCATAACATTAAACAAAATGCTTATATCATTAAGGAAACTACATAACCAATTCTTTTTCTTGAATCAGTAGACCTTAATAACGCCTTAAATAAACTGTAGGCAACCTTCTGCTCAGCTTTTCCTATTTGACCTATAAATATAGAGCAAAAGAAAGTGAACTTTCCAAAGTGTCGAACGTGTTCATAACTGTTGATTGTTGTCCAGCTTGACACTTAGAATAACTGTAACAGTTTCCAGCTTTTCCCTACTCGTATATAAATATAAGCTAATGTCACGGAAGCTCGTCTAAAAAAAAAATAATAATAAAAAATAAGGTAAAAAATAACCAACAGCATGTATTACTGTATAAACAGAGTTTTAGCTTTTCCCTACCTATTACGCGTTTAAGTATATATGGTCCGGAAAATGAGTCTTATATAAAGATCAAATAATGTCGCAGTTGATGCTGAAAACGGCTGATGCTGAAATTTGGGGTCTCTATTTAATTCTATAATACCTACTAAAATCTATATATACTTTTTTATTAATAAAACTACCCTACTAACCCTAACCTAACTATGAAAAAAAAGTGTAAAAAAAAGGCCCAAAAATTTTTTATAATTTTATAAAAAAATTTCAGCATCAGCATCAGCTGCAACTAATAATTTTTTTTATATGTTGCACACCGGGTCGCGTAACATCGACGGTTCCGTGATGGGTGATCTCATTTACGTAGATATTTATTGATAACTATTTAAAAAAGTAGCTTTATTATCACGATAAATTATAAAATTCTTTAAAAAACCTTATTAATTAGAGAATCACTTATATTATTATTAAAAATGGAACCTTTTATTTATTTTTTGTTTATTTATTTTTTTTATTCTTTTCTTTTTAAAATTATCGTTATATGAATTTTTTAAATTTCAGCACTACTACTGTACTATATATATCTACATCAGGAAGTTTTGAAACCTGATTATAATCATTAGATTTAATCAATAATCAACACAAAGATATATAAAACTAATCGATTATAACCGATTAATAGCGCTTTGCAAAAAGATGTGAACATGTGATTTTAGTAATGATGATGATGGCTGAGAATTACTAAGATTCCTATTTTCGATTGAATTCTTAAAACTCAAATCTATAAAATCTCCGATTCTCACATCTGCAGTGTTCACATCTTTTTGCAAAGCGCAATAATTTAATGGTTTTCATTTCATATATCAAATATTCAACCAAATTAACAATCATATTATTATATTTAGCAGTTCTAAATTAAGGGTAGAGTACTATATTTGAAATTTAATTTAGGTTCTATGGAAAATCATTAAAATCAATATTGGTTTTTGTGGATATCACGATCATTGTGACAAAACTTCTCGTCTGCTAATTTTTAATCTTACTAACTCGCATGGAGCATTTAGAGCATTTTTAACTACTTTACCAGCTACTGTCGGTGGTGATTCGCCAGAAGATGTTCTTGGAGGTCTTAATGCTGCTATAACTAAAATGAAATGAGGTGATAGTACTAAAGTTCTTTTTCACATTGGTGATCATCCACCATATAGTAAACGTTTTACTACTCTGGATGATGATTATCTAGATGGTGATCCAAATGGGCTAATAGCAGAGCAAGAAATGCAATCAAAAGGCATTTTTTATATTTTTGGAAAAATTACAGAACATATTGATACCATGTTACATGTTAAAATTAATGCCAATGTATGTAATAGTCTATTAATGATCCTTTAAAAATATAAAATTTTACTACGCTCTATTTTGATTTTTCATACTTCTTTATATATTAATCCACGCAACGAATTTATTTAAACTATGTACTAGAGAGAAATTATTTAAACTACGATAAATGCATTTAAATTTAATTAATTTTACATCCCTACCCACGAATTGACCCACCCAGGTCACTACAATCCGGGTCACCCGACCCACCCGGATAACATCCACGAGTCCAATCACTAACCATAGCAGATAGGGCCTTGGCTGCTAGTTTGTTCATAGGCAGAAGTTCGTCTAAGTGGCTAGTGCAGATTAATTGTTCGGGTTAATTTGATCAATAGCATACGTATTTAGTGAATGCTGCTAACTTATTTAAAAATGGCAAACATAGATATACTTAGGGTTAGTACCCTAAGTATATCTAGTTTATCATTATGATGCTTTTCAATCACATTTAGCATTTTAAGTATAAACATTCGATTTCACAAATTTCATAAGCTCAAATTTAGCTGGTTTGGGTTTCAAACAAACCCGAACTAAGTTTGAACAAGCAGGATAATAACATCTTGTGTAAATTAAAGTGTAGCGAATTTGTATTGATAGAAAACTAGTTTATATAAGCATCTGATATGTGCAATATTTATATTTTCAGAGGTTAATAAAAATTGAGCCAAATGACCCGCCTGCATTAAGTTATCTTGATATAATTTGTTATATGATAAAGGAATATGATCAAACACTTTTGGATCTAACAAGATACTCTCAATATGTCTGTGCACTATTTTATTGATATCCGACTAACCTATTTGACCCGGGTCAGCACGATTCTGACCCGTGATCCACATAACCCGTCAAATTTACTGACCCGTACGAGTCAACCCTACCCGAACCCGAGTAACACCTGCCAATATATGTAATAGTCTCGGCATCGTTAATAGTCGATAAACCAACATTTCTACAAGTATGATCCTCTTGTGATTCTTTTTATGCTCAAGTGTGATAAGTCTGATTAAATATTCGTATGAATATAAAAATATAAAATTTTGATCTTTTCATACTATACTTCTTTATATATTACTCAATGTAACGTGTAACTATCTGCTATAGAGAATTTATGTACTAGAGAGAAGTTATTTAAACTACGATAAATTTAGCATTTAAATTTAATTAAATTTACATCCCTACCAAGAATTGACCCACCCGCGGGTGACATCCACGAGTCCAATCACTAACCATAGCCTTGGCTGCTAGTTTGTTCATAGACGGAAGTTCGTCTAAGTGGCTAGTGTAGATTAATTGTTTGGATAACTTACTTATATATTTGAGTCATTACATGCGTCGTTTCTAGTTTCGATGAGGCTAGAAAGCTAATTTTAAAAATAGTCTCTAAATCTCTAATTTGAGGAGGGTTGGCATAATGCCGACTTTTGAGTACAGGAGTGGGTAAAGAAAAAAAAAAAAAGCTACAAAGATAAAAATGGTTTCGGGATCGTCTAAAGCGGTGTAGAATTACGATATCAAACCAATTAAAATATAAGAAATTTGACGATCCGATGAATCATAAAGTGAAAAACATAAAAAACGGTACCTTGGGTACATTAATAAAAATGTGCGAAGGTGATTTTGCTTATACAACATCTCTAGAAAGCCCAAGATCAGTGACATGAACACTATACAAGTTATCTTGCAAAATATTTCCTCTGTATAAATCTCTATGAACGAGTTTCTGCTAACCTTAATCTAACCGTCACTTACAGTACGTATAAGAAAATGATAAAAATCGTGGGCTCGCACTCTTTTCCACTAGCTTTTGACCCGTAGTGTTGCTCCGGATTCAAAATATAAAAATAATTTGTCTAATTTAAAAACTAAAAAGAAAAGAAACTGAATTTTAAGCAGTATTAAAAAATTAAATTCAATAATCCGTTGATCAAGTTGAATTATGAATATTCATAATTCTTTTACTTATTGTTAATAATATAAGTAATAATACAAATCTATTTAATGGTTACGTATTATGTTCAAATTCGTGTAACAAAAATAGGATCATGTGTTACAGCAGTAGCCAATAGATTGTATCTTTGTCTCATAGCATTGTATATATAAAAGAACCTTCAAATGCCCCAGAAACTAAACAGACAACTTTATTATTATTATTTTTACATATAAAATTTGATATGTGCTAAAGACACGTATTTACACATAAGAAGACACTATTTAACATTAAATACTGAAGAGAACCTCTTTTTAATCCCAAGAAATCATGACCTGAAATTTACATGTGCAGTTCTCATTATATTGATGGATTTAAGGAATGGCTGACGGGTTTCCAGAAGATAACACAACATGTCAATAAAGACCTAATCAATGGAATTGACGCACACTTTCAAGAAAACCAATATTTAGCAAGATGCATCTTGCTAAATATCATATTAAAAACTATAAACGTTCGGCATTTGTACCTCAAGGAAAATGACAAATTAGTTTTAGAATCTTTGTTGCCATTACTTCTTTGGATCTATGCCTCAACTACAACATTGACTCTAGCTATTCTTGAAAGAAGCAGAAAAGTTATTAAAAAAAAAAAAAAAAACATTATTAAAAGCAAAGGTCTATTTTTTTTATTTTAAAAAGAAAATAACTCCTAGTTAGCTTTTAAAAATAGTGAAATTTGAATCTAAGACAATAAATAGCCTTATCAGATTCATTACAATCAATTCTACTCTAATTTCATTAAAATTAAAATTAAATTTAAATAATCTTGATTATAAAAATATAAAAATTCCTATGTAAAAAAAAACAAATTAAAATCACTCAATCTCTGCGATAATCATATTGATGCTAATAAGGGAAAGAAGTTGGCAGAATTACTTCACAAGAACAATACATTGAAAGAATTGAATATTTGTGATAATGATCTTGAGTCAGAAGATGGAAAAGTTTGTAATTAAAGTCTTATGCAAGCACGATGTTACCAACTAATACAGTTAGAGTTTTAATAAAAAAAAAATAAAAACTTCAAATATAGAAGATTTATTAAAAGTTAGATTTTGTATGGAGTAAACAAATGTAAAATTAATGTAGAATGAAAGGTCATATTGGCCAATAAGCAAAACTTCGCATTAAAAATGTAATAGTTTTGATAAAGTTAATAAAATTTTTGTAATATCGAATTTATATAGTATCGTCTTTTTTTTTCTTTACTGAAAATTGAAATTAACCAATCTGATGCAATATTTTTAGTTTCAGCAAAATTTTAGCATCAAACGTCAATATTTTAAGTAAGAGTTAATCACTTTCAAATTTCCATCAATTAAAAATTAACGTACAGTATGTATAGTACGTGAATTTAAAAGTTATACCGATAAAGTATAACATACGTACGTCAAGTATTTCATATAGCATTTTTTCTTTACAACATGGCTTCAAACACACATAGTTAGTTTTTCATTTTTTTTTCTTCAAACCTCTAAAAAATTGTTGACATTATATGAACAAGTGAAAAATAAAAGATCTATAATGGATAATTCAAAATACAACTTGTTTTGCAAATCTGCCAAGTAAACACGAAACCCCAAGCTTTAAATATTGAGTTCTTAATATCTTTAAATCAGTTGAAGCTGGATTTATCGAAGAATTGAACGTTCAATTAAATAAACATCATCATAGCACTCAAGTTTATCATATTGAAGACTTTATACTGCTACTTGTCAAGCTCATAAAAAAGATAGTGGCCAAGACAAAACTTAGTTAAAAGTAAATATATAATTAAATAAGCATAAAAATTAAATATTTAAATCGCTATTGTTTTATAACAAGTTAGATCCATCAAGCGTTGATACTTTCTCGATATAATTCTAGTGGGCAAGTCATCTCTTTACAAAATGTTGAAGCTCAACAAAATTAATGCGATCAATAACCTCTTCAAAATATCACAAACGAGGTTTCTAGTCAAGAAACAGATAAAAATACAAGAAATAAGGATTACCATTGTAATAAAAACAAATTACGAAAATAAGAGCTGTTCTTGTCATAAAAACAGTGTTCTTTATACTTTCCAATATGGTTGTGCATGCCAAGATACAATATATGTAAAAGCCATTAAGTTATTGCTTATTAAATAGTATAGTTAATGTAAATGCAATGATTAAATAATATCGATATAATAAATATCATGTATAGTTTGTATGTAGTGTAAAAAAAAAAAGTAATATCAATAAATAAATAAATTTGCCTCTTTTTTTTTTTTGTTTTTTTTAAATTAATCATTATTGATCAGTAAAATGATACTAATCAATTACGTTATTTTAAATTTTAATTGACGGAAATTTAAAAGTGACGTCTAATTAAATTGTTTTAACCCTTTCTTAAATATTGACATCTGATGCTAAAATTTTGCTAAAACTGAAAATATTGTGTCAGATTGGTTAACTTCAATTTTCAGTAGAGAAAAAAAAGACGATGCTATATAAATTCAATATTACAAAAATTTTATTAACTTTATCAAAACTATTACATTTTTAATGCGAAATTTTGCATATTGGCCAATATGACCTTTCATTTTACATTAATTTTACATTTGTTTACTCCATGCAAAATCTAACTTTTAATAAATCTTCTATATTTGAAGTTTTTATTTTTTTTTTATTAAAACCCTAACCGTATTAGTTGGTGACATCGTGCTTGCATAAAACTTTAATTACAAAGTCTTTTCCACCTTCTGACTCAAGATCATTATCACAAATATTCAATTCTTTCAATATATTGTTTTTGTGAAGTAATTCTGCCAACTTCTTTCTCTTATTAGCATCAATATGATTATCGTGGAGATTGAGTGATTTTAATTTGTTTTTTTTTCATATAGGAATTTCCATATTTTCATAATCAAGATCATTTAAATTTAATTTTAATTTTAATGAAATTAGAGTAGAATTGATTGTAATGAATCTGATAAGGCCGTTTATTGCCTCGGATTCAAATTCCACTATTTTTAAAAACTAACTAGGAGTTATTTTCTTTTAATAATGGTTTATTTTTTTCTTTTAATAACTTTTCTGCTTCTTTCAAGAATAGCTAGGGTTGATGTTGTAGTTGAGGCATAGGTCCAAAGACGTAATGGCAGCAGAGATTTTAAAACTAATTTGTTGTCGTCCTCGAGGTACAAATACCGAACATTTACAGTTTTTAATATGATATTTAGTCTTGCTAAATATTGGTTTTCTTGAAAGTGTGTGTCAATTCCATTGGTTAGGTCTTTATTGATATGTTGTGTTATCTTCTGGAAACCCATCAGCTGTCCCTTAAATCCATGAGAACTGCATGTGTAGATTTCAGATCATGATTTCTTGTATTAAAAAGGGTTTCTCTTCAGTATTTAATGTTGAATGATGTCTTCTTATGCATAAATACGTGTCTTCAACACGTATCAAATTTTATATGTAAAAATAATAATAATAAAGTTGTCTGTTTAGTTCCTGGGGCATTTGAAGGTTCTTTTATATATACAATGCTATGAGACAAAGATACAATCTATTGGTACTGCTGTAACACATGATTGAACATAATACGTAACCATTAAATAGATTTGAGTTAGTAACGTATCAGGTATTATTACTTATATATACGTACTATATATACTGTATATTCATTCATCATGGCCATTCAATAATATTTCACGGGTTTTAATCATCTGCAAATAATATTGACGATATGGATATTCATAACGATAACGGAATATTCACAATTTTGTGAAACTTAAATATTCATATATTTAATATAATCTAATCCTTGACTATTCATGAATTTGAATATATGCTTTTAATTGAATATATATTCATTTTTATCCATGGATATTCACGGATCTCAGCAGTATCTCAGCTCTACTTAGAGAAAGCTTTTTTTTTTCTTTACCTAACTCAAAAAGTCGAAATTATGTCAACCCTTCTTAAAATTAGAGATTATTTTCAAAATTAGCTTTCTAGACCTCATCGAAACTAGTAACGACGTATGTTAAGAGTAATTACTCGTGTAACGACTCAAGTTACCTACACTTGACAATCACAGCGTGATGTATTTCGACATATATACTACACAAATTTGGTTAAAACATAGAACTGATCTCGGTCGGTTTTTTTAAAAGAACAGAATCTTATAAGTATTATACAAAGAGCTATATCGATTTGAAAACTGGTTTTGTTGAGTCACTATAACTTTCTATCGCTATAGATAAATTTTTTATTAACGTTTACTGTTTTGGGCACAATATGTACATTAATTTTATTGGTCAACCACGATCACGAGAAAATTGAAATATCTCGTGATTGTCGAGTATAAGCTTCCGGCACCATATCAATTGTACGTGCATATAGCTTGCTTCCCTGAACGTTGATTATAATGGACGCAAAGGATCTTCCACCTAAACAAACTTTTAATTTCATGTTTGAATATGGACTGTTCATTCTGATAATTGTAATATATTTATATATTCAAGACTGGGAAATTTTTAGTTTAAATCGTTATAGTTTTCCTCAGGTGTTTTTCTTCATTCAATTCTGTATCTTTTAGTTTCGTGTAATATTAAAACCACACGTCTCTTTAAGGCAAGATTGACTTCTTTTTTATTTAATAACATCTTACATCTATCACAAAGCGAGTTTTAGGAAACGAAAGTTGGGCACCACAGTTCATTTATCCAAATCTTTGGCGAGGTGGATCTACTACTAACGTGTCGCGACAGGTTTTATTTTAATTAACCGTTAATTTCATATATGCCCAAATTAACTAATTTATCTTCTTTTTTTTTTATAGGTTGGTTACAATTGGCAACCACCACATATCATTTCAACATCCACTTATGCAAGCATAGCTGTTTACTTAGCCATTGTGTACACACTGTCGTTGATGTGGGAGCCCTCGAGAAGAATTTGTGAAAATAAGGATACATCAGCTCATTTATATTAATGTGTAATAAAAGTTTCTACGCATGAATTTTACTCTCAAACAATCACCGATACAAACATCGAGCATCACTTATCATTTATTCTTTATATGAATTTCAGAAATATATATACAGGTATAAACGTAGAATTCTACATTGGGTTTCATTTTCTGGTACATTAAAGATACATTAAACATGTAGAAAAAATATATACTTTCAACAAACTGATGATTCATTCGTTGGCATTATTTCAGCTCATCGAAAAGCTTTGAGGAAACCTGCATAAGAACATATATTAGAAGTGTCGGATTTGTATTATTATGAAAATGAATTATGAATAAATAATTTACTTACGCAATTGTTGACGCAATGCAGAAAATGAAAAAGTTCTTCGGTACCTTGTGATTAACATAATAAAGTTTAAGTTATTAAATGCTATTTGGTGAGAATGCGAATAATTAATATCTTACAATTTTCATCTGTCTCTCCAGCCTCAACACGATTATTACATTCTTCAAGGTGATGTTTCAAGGGTGCACAAGCTGTAGTATCACCACAAGCTGTTATAATTGAATTATTTGAAATTAGAACTTGTATAATAATAAAGACTTTTACGATAAAATACCTTCTTCGATCGCTGGTTTTGGATCTTCGGGATCTTCCTGAACTGACTCTTCAGGTTCTTCAACTTTATTTTCAGCATGAACAATTGAAAAAAAACCTTTTTCTTGTTTGGTTTTTTCAGTCATTTGCGTTGTTATCGTTATGCCCGTAATGCCCGTACAACGAAATATTTTTTTAAAATTATCGGATTAGATCTTGATTTAAGAATTATCACTAATCGTATACTAACCAATCACCTATCATTATTTTAATTATATATATAGTATATATATATATATATATATATATATATATATTACTGTATATACGTATTAGCATTGCGTATATATGAAAAAATTGATAATGCGTTATTAATACGTATTATTATTAATTAATTAATTAATAACTTCGATCATCGCTAATACAGTAATATCGATATGAATTAAATAAACTACCAACGGATTTAATAAAAGTTTAGTCCGCCAATATCTGCAATTTTTGAGAAAATATGACGCAACTTTTCGTTTTTTATATCATACATCCTATACTAATTAGCTGCGCCATATATTATTATTAATAATACTAAATGCTAAGCTTTAAAAATTTATTATATATAAAAAACACTATCATAGCTTTAACCCTAATGGTTAAAAATTAGTTAATTCAAAAAAATATACAGTATATATATACGTATTAAAAAAAAACCACTAATGAAAAAAAATTTTTTTTTTCTGACTTTTGCAATCGGCCGGGTTATGAGAACCAATTTGTGGTAGGTATTTAAAAAATAATTTGTTTTTAAATATTTATGATACGTATATAAAGTACGTATATATATATATAATTATTAATGTTGAGGTAAACACTAATTCTACGTACGTACGTAGCATATTTCCATTTTTGATCTATAAAACTATATATCGATATAGTTAAATTCTACCAAGATTAACAAATTTAATAATATATACGTACTGTACGTATCAGAAATGATAAAGCTTTAAAACTTAAACAATAGTCGAGACGTTATAAAACGCTAATTTTTTTCTTTTTTTTTTTAGCAACTTACTCAAATAGTTGTCTTTTGTTTTTATTAAAGCTTCGAGCTGTCGTTTTTCTCCAGAAGTTTCGTCTTTGAATTTGCCCTCACCGGAGTTTCGTCTTTCGCGTCTTTAATCGAGAATTTTGTATTTCGTCTTTTACCAGCTTTAGTTTCACCTTTCGCCATTTACAAAAATGGTCGATTATATATGTGATTTTTTGAAACAACACTCTTCTTATGATGTATTGCCAGTAAGCTATAGGTTAATAGTTTTAGATACTAGCTTACTTGTAAAGAAAGCTTTGGCTGCATTAATGCAAAATGGTAAGTAATTAATACGTGTGAAACACATGAACAAATTCTTTGTGATGTTAACACCACAAAGCCTTAGTTCTGATCACTCTTCTTTGTGAGCTAGCACTGGATATAACCGTCTTAAAATGCCATCAATGATTTTTTCGTACAGGAGTTGTATCAGCACCGCTTTGGGATTCAAATAATCAAAAGTTTGCTGGAATGCTGACAGTATCCGATTTCATTAACCTAATCCATTATTATTACAAGCATTCATCTTATACCGTTGCGTTAGAAGAAATTGAACAATTTCAAATACAACAATTAAGAGGTAATATCTATATTAAAAATTATCTTTATGAATGGTTAATACCTGTTTTTTTTAATGTTAAATAATGTTCATTTATTTAAGATGTGGAAAGTCGGTTGGGTTCACCACCGCCACAATTGTTGTCAATAAATCCTCTAAAATCATTATATGAAGCTTGTAAATTATTGGTGGAAGCTCGTGCCCATCGATTACCATTGGTCGATGTTGATTCTGAGACTGGCCAAGAAATGATCGTATCTGTATTAACACAATATAGGATACTTAAATTTATAGCAATGAACGTAAGGTATTTCATATTCTTATTTTTATATGGAATACATACGAACTACATGCCCCGCATATATATGATTTATATAGTGCAAAGAAACGAAAGATTTTCGAAAGCCACTCTCAGAAATAAATATTGGAGTATATAATGACATTGCTACTGCAAGAATGTCTACTCCTGTCATTGAAGTTGTAAATATTTTTGCGGAGAGACGAATCTCTTCAGTACCCATAATCGATGAAAATGGTGTGATATATCACATGACCCAATTTTATTATTCTTCTCTTGGAAAATGTGAATTGACATTATTTCAACTTGTTAGGTGTTGTGTTGAATGTATATGAAGCAGTTGATGTGATGGCAAGTATAAAACTTTCTCGATTTTTGATTTTAAAACTTTTTTACATTTTACTAAGGATCTATTGTTTTTTATTTTAATAGACATTACTCCGTGCTGGAGCGTATCATGGATTGGATATTCCCATTGGAGAAGCGATATCATGGAGATCAGAGGTATTGATCTTTATTTATTCGCGCATTAATTTACCTATTTTCTTTTGTTTTCATCACAATTTCTTTTTCTACTAAAGGATTTTCCCGGAGTTCATACTTGTACTCTTAACGATTGCCTTCACTCAATATTTGATTTAATAAAGCAAGCTCCGGTATATCGCTTAATTGTTGTTGATTCGGAAAATAAATTGAAAGGAATCGTTTCTTTATCCGATATTATGCGTTATTTAGTAACATAATAATTTATTATTAATCAGTCACGAAAATATTATTTGGTTGCTCTTGTCAATTAATGCTATATTTTTTTTTCATTTTTCTTTGAAAAGGTGTTTAATGTAAAGTTAACCTACGCAATGGGTAATGGATATGGATTTGAAAAACTAATTGTATACGTTTTATTTTTTTCTTATATTTTATTGTAATGCTGATATTGTTTAACAAGATTAAGATGATACCGTAGATACATAATATGGTGATTTTTTTAAAAAATATATACTATATCCTTACTATATACTTACTATAAATATAATTTAGTTATTATTAAAGTAATAAATTTTTTAATTTTATTAATTGTAATGTAATGCAAACTATATATATAGTAGAAAATTATATATTCTAAATTGTAAGTTATACGTAGTGAAAATTAAAACTTAGCATTTTACTACGCCAATTAAGTTTTTGAAAATTAACACAGTAATTCATTTACAGTATAATTTATCTTTTACGTAAATTTTCTTTAAATCCGATTAACGTTACTTTCATTATTACCGGAGTTGTTACCGTGTGTCACATGATTCTATTTCATTAAAACTCAGAATTGCCTCTAAAAGCTGGGATTGTACGTACTGTACATTTTTCTAATATTTCTATTAATCTTTATATCGTGTGCGAATAAAACATGGTGAGCTTTATTTATGTAAGCGAGAAAAGTCTTTATATTATTTGTTCTAATATTATTGACTTTCTATCTTTGTAGAATACGTTAAAATCAGCGCAAAAAGAAAAGGTCAGGCAATTTATGACCTTTACAAATGCCAGGTAAAAGAAGTTCACTAGCGACGTCAAAATGTTCCTTGGAAAAACTATATTTTATAGATCTCTTACTTTATCATAATTTTATTGCAAAATAACGTCAGTGAAAGAGTCTCCATTCGGAAACTTAGAGAATTTAACTGGAACGTAGAAGTTGCAGTAGATGCTTTCTTCAACGATCAACCTAGCTCCTGGAGATCTTTTGGCGCTTCGCAAAATTCTGGAAATCCAGATGTTTACAAACTCAATCAAATATTCTCAAAATATAAAGGTACGCTACTCAGGGTTCAAGAAAACAAAAGACCAAGTTTGATTCGTTCCCTCGAATGATCGTGGTCGACGTTCTCGGGAGATCAGACTTCTCATTTATTTCAAGATATTTTTATAATTATCCATAAAATTAGGCACTTGACTTAATATTACTTATTTGCCACCTAAACTTTCAAATAGATAAAGATGAAGATGCCATTTTAGTAGATGGAATGTTAGAATATTGCACCGATTTACACGTTGCACCCGAGGATGTTGTTATGCTTGTTATGGCATGGAATCTTGAAGCTGATAAAATGTGTGAATTTAAACGCCAAGGATTTATCAATGGATGGACAAAATTAAGGTGCGGTTTATGCATAATAGATTTACATTCTGTCAGGGATCTTTTTTTTTTTAAATTATCAAAAAGCATTTAATAAAAAAAATAATGCATATTTATCTTATTAATTCATTTCAATGTTAGATGCGATTCAATTGAGAAAATGCGCGCTGCGATACCTCGACTTCGAGCATCATTGAATGATGAAGCCACATTTAAAGAGATTTATCAATTTACATTTAAATTTGGATTATCTGAAAACCAAAAATCCTTGAGTATGTCTATAATCGAATTTTTTATTCTTTATTAAAATATAATCAAATTTTTTTTTTAATTATTAATTTGAAATTTTAAAATTAGGTCTTGACGTCGCGATAGAATTCTGGCGGATGTTATTGAGTGATCGCTGGCCACATCTTGAAATATGGATAGAGTTTGTCAAGGTAAAGATAATGTCACGAAAGGAAGACCCCTCATGATTACAGAAATTAAATAATGCTTTATTATTTGTGACTTAGGAGAAACATGGAAAATCGATCTCTAAGGATACATGGAATCTGGTAATATCATAATTTTCGTTCAAATTTCGACCAAAATTTTAGTTATTAAAAAAATTAAAAATTATTTTTCTTATCAATATTTAATATGTAATTAGCTGCTAGATTTTATCAAACAGATCAACGTCGATCTTTTAAATTACGATGCTGAAGGTAAGAAGCCTAAATTAAATCAATGATGTATTTTGATATATCTTTTATGATACATTAATTGATTTCCTTAAATTTATTAAATTTATTTAGGTGCTTGGCCTGTTCTTATTGATGAGGTATATTTATCAAAAATGAATTTAATATAATTTTTATTATACGATTCTCATATTTCCTTTCTAATATATATTAATAGTTTGTGGAGTATGCCAGAGAAAAATTGCAATTACCAGCACCTTAAGTTCAAATTTGACATAATTGTAAAACAGTGCCAATAATAATTAATGAATTATGTATGCATACATCATCTGGTAAATTTAATTTTTATTGTAAAAAGCTTAAACCTAGAAGCAATTGGGAGTCATAGCACTGTAGCTGTTTTTTTTTTTTTTTTCGTTAAAACCATTATTCAGGTTCACGAAACTACCCTACTTTATTGGACTGTTGGTAGAGTATTTTTTTTTTTTGTTTAGAAATTTAAGTTTCGTAAAAGTTGCAAGATTTGGATTTCATGTAAATTTAAATAAACCAATTTATTATGTGTTTGCGAGTCGCCTGAAGTAGCTACTATAATAAACATTGGCTAGTTTCGGCTATAAATTTTTCGAACTTTCAAATAAGAAGGCAATTTAATTTTTGTTAGCGCTAAATCATTCCTAATGTCACTCATCTTCTCATCTTAGAGATTATATTTATTCAATTTCCTAGGGTTGTTATCTAGGTCGTGTTGATCAGAATCTTGACGGGTCACGAGCCAAAAATCGTTCTGATTCGGTCAATTAGTTAAAAAAAGTTAGCCGAGTCGATGAAAAAATGGAAAATGACATTCTGATTGGTTAAACCTTGGGCTATCTGAAAAATCATTGATTAAATAATTGATCGGCTATTTAGCTGTATAACCAATTCGGTTAATCGGCTAAGAGTTGGTAACCGACCGATAGTCAACCGTAGTCGACCGATAGACTTAGGTATTATAAATAACACTGAATAAAATAGTTTCTGATGACATTATATCTATTACAGCTTATTTTTTACTATGCAAAGGGACAGTGGGCATGAATAATGTGCTTAAATTTTTAGCTAATCACAGATTTTATTTGTAATAACAAACCAAAATACGTATATCAATAAATGTTTTTTTATACAAATTTTAGTTATTTTCTAATAACATAGAATAATCTATATCTTCACTATCGGAATTTAGCTATGATAAACGTGAGAGAATCCATTCTAGTATTTGGGTGCCTTTTTAAAGAATAAATTCGCAAATGGTTGCTAGAAGTTGATAAGCAAACCAATACTGTAATAAACTCTAAGCAGTTAACAACCCGGTAGAGTGTTGCCACTATCAATTTTCTCCCAAGGGTGCTCACAATGAACTACATTTCCATCAGGTGACATACAAAATACTAAGTAGCTTCGTTTATCCTCAGTTAAACCAACGAGTCCAGCAAAAAACTAAAAGACCACATTCTTATAAATATAATTTAATAAAAAATTACATGTTTATCTTAGTAATGCTAATTTAGACCCACCCCATACTGAATTGCTCTCGCACCACCCATGCCAACTTTGGGTGTGACTTCCCATCATACTACTAACTGCACAAATACATTCTTCTTTTCGTTCATCTTCTAATTCTATGGATAAAGAATAAAGTTATTAGCATGTTATATGAATTTATAATAAAAGAAAGAATACTAATTAATGCTTACAACGTCAAACATCACACTTGTGAACTGAATAAGTATTACGTCGAGCAGAAGGTTGTGGTGGAGTTGGTAAGAGCGAGAATGTTTTATAGTTTCGTAAGAAACATTTTTGAATAAACGAGGCAACAAATTTAGCACATTTGTGAAGCTGCGTCCGTATTAATAAAGGAGTCAACAAATTTGATTCATTTGTGAAGCTGCGTCCGTATTACCAAATACTCCAATTTTCCTTTCAATAAAGGAGTCAACAAATTTAGTTCATTTGTAAAGCTGCGTCCGTATTACCAAATACTCCAATTTTCTTTTCTGTGACGCATTGTCAATCCAGTCCCTGGGGCTGATCAATGCCCTTTCATCCTCATTCAGATTTAAAAGCAATGTCTTTATTGCTTTTGAATGCTCTAGATCTGGATTAAGCCATAATATCGGTATAATGGGTTTGCACCATTTCCGATTTACACGAAGACATTAAAGATCTTCACCTAGTGTCCAATAAAAAAAAAAATCAATTAATGCCCTTGTGTAAAGTCAAATTATTATTCTTATAATTAACTCACCAAGACATATTATAACCTCGCACGCCAATGTCGCGTAATGCTGTTGACTTTTTGGTTGTTGTGTCTACGAAGAGGAAAATGATAACTTTTCATTCCGAATATCGTAATATGTGCCGTACAACTTTGACGAAAGATCTGATCACTATATAAAATATCATAAAGTGAGTCACAAATAGATTTTTTAGTGGTTTGACGTCATATGGCGCGTTCGAAATAGAGTCAAGTGTATTTTTAAATTTTTAATATTTGAAAGGACGTGTAAAGTGAAAAAACAACAACTATAATTTAGGTCAACGAAATCGATCACGTGATATAAGTTATATGGCAAATTTTTTTTGAGACCTGTTGTTATTTTTTTTTGATAGATCAAATTTTTTTATTTGATAAGACTATTTATATCCTTCTCTCCTCATATTTGAGTTTGTGGGTTTTTAGAAGGCGTAAATTGGCTTCATGGACTCGCGACAATGGCAAGTTAATTTTTATTTTTAAAAATATTATTAACTATTAATTATTGATTTTAAACTTGAATATCTGGATTAGCAAGTCAAATTAATTGGAATTTAGCAAATAAAATTCTGTTCAAATTATAAAAAAGTGGCTGAGCTCGGTCCCTGGATAAAGTTTAAAACTTTTAAATTCCCACAAGTCAAAAATGATACTGATAATTATATTCCACAGGATAGTTTACCAGAAAATCAGGTAATGGCACCAAACAAAATTCACAAAATTCTAATTCTTAGGACTAATCCAAATAAAATGGAATGTCTTTTTAATATGCTGTTAAACATGGAGAGGAACCTTTGATCATTACAGAGGTATGATAAGCACACTTTCGCAAACTGGCTCCATTTGTGCCTCACTCATGCCTGCTGCTAGTAGCAGGTCTTTAAAGTTAAACGAGTCGGGCCCGGGCCCGAAAGTGTGTTTATCACGCTAGTTACATATACTGATTAGCATCAATTGTGGAACACTATTTTTATCATTAGTCTCTGAGTCTCAAAGGTACCGTTAGTACTGATATTTTGTATCCCCTAAATTTAAAATTCATAATGAGTAAAATTTCGCTTTCGTAGTCTCGTTATAAACGACATGACTTCACATAAACAACACACTACCTGGAGAATAAGTCAATTAAATTAATTCAAAAAATATATGTGCAACTTATTACTACCCTCCCCGATCTAAAACCCGCCTATTTATACTATTTAATCACCAGATCTAAAAAAACTCGCTAAAAGAGAAATTATAAGATTAGTAATTACCTTACCTTACCCAAAGCAATGCCAGATTCCGTCACGTAAAGCAAGTATTTGGTTATAGGTTTAAAAACTGAATCTATTTGGTCATTTTTTAGATTCGACGCGAAGCGAAAAAAGTCAATGATCTTGACGAACGTATAAAACTACTGATATTACTGGTAATAAGAAAAAAATCTACCGTGGAAATGATTCTGCAGAAATGTGATACAAACCACATGCGCTTTTTAACTTTATCTTAACATTAACGTTAATGCTATTTAAATTACGAGTTACCTCACATATATGTTTATGGGTATTTCTTGAAACGCACATATCGGGTATATGTTTATTACCTTATTACCTATGCTAAAAATTTTCGCTGTTGGTTTGTAGTAAATTCTAAAAAAAGAAGAAACAGAATTTGGAAGTGTCGTAAATTGCTTTATTCTTTTATTGATCCATCGTTTTTTTTTTATTTCGATTTTTAAAACAATAATCATTAAATGGTAATAATGAAAAGACGTTTGCTCTAAACATTTATTGCAAACAATATTTTAATTAATTGTATATGCAAGCACTAACACGATCATAAATTAATCATACGTATTGAGGAAGATATGTGAGCATATTTCAATTATATTATCATTCATACCATCGGTTCTCAAAAATGACCTAATTAATAATGCTATAATGGTTGAGCACTTCTTAATTACTAGCCAATCACATCTAGTGTGCTGCTTGAGAACACCTTATATGACCTTTATGACCTGTAATAGTTTATTGGCCATTATAAAAAGACTGATATGATTTATGACCTTTTAACTAGTGTTCAGCAAAAAAGAACTGACTGGAACCGGCATTTTTAGTGGGCATAAAGTGATGTTCCACAAAAGGTACCCTCATATTATAATAGTGTGGGAAAATCTACACTAGAAACATAGTTCATTTTGTATTTTACATATTCCTGTCGCCAGTAGCAAG